CCTGTACTCCAGCCTAGGCAGTGAAGAGAAGACCTGACTCAAAATAAATAAATAAAAATAATTTGATGCCTGGATCTATCGGCAACCATCTGGTAGTATCCAAATTAGTTATTTTATAATCATGCAGTCTAGTTCCACTTTCTTTGTGGTTATTTTGTATGTTTGTGTATTTACTGGTAGAATATAGGAGTCATGAATTCTTTGAGGTCTGGCTTTAATCTGGTTTTGTGGTCCTTTGTCTCACAGGTATTTCATGCATGGGGTTTGTAAGGAAGGAGATAACTGTCGCTACTCCCATGACCTCTCTGACAGTCCGTATGGTGTAGTGTGCAAGTATTTTCAGCGAGGGTACTGTATTTATGGAGACCGCTGCAGGTAAGAACTTGTTTATAAATTTTTGTTTATGGTTGGGTTGGGAGGAAAAAAAGTAATAACTTTATACATAATAGGTTAAAAATACTCTGCTTTGAAAACTACTCCTAAGGAATATTAATGCACTGACAGATTTCTCTTAGAGAGATTTATGCCTAACTTTTATTCATGGCTGTGAAGTAACAACTTACTCATATATTTATTTATTTTTGAGCTCTCGTCTCATTCTGTTGCCCAGACTGCAGTGCAGTGGCACGCTCCTGGACACTGCAGACTCGACCTGCTGGGACCTGCTAGGCGATCCTTCCACCTCAGCCTTCCAAGTAGCCGGAACTACAGGCGCGTGCTACCACTCCCAGCTAATTTTTGATTTATTGTAGAAATGAGGTCTTGCCAAGTTACCTGGGTGGGTTTCGAACCTGCGATCTCAGGCAATTCACTCGCCTCGGCCTCCCAAAGTGCTGGGATTACGGGCTGAGCCATGGAGCCTGGCCACAACTTGTTTTTTTTTTTTGAGTCAGAGTCTCTGTCACCCTGACTGGGGTGTAGTGGCGTGCTCATGATTACCACAGCCTTGGCCTCCTCGGCTCAGGCAATCCTTCTGCCGCAGCCTTCCAGGTAGCTGGGACTACAGGCATACAATACCATGCCTGGCTAATTAAAAAAAAATTTTTTTTTGCAGTTAAAGTTTCATTTCATCCCCCAGGCTGAAGTGCAGTGACATGTTCCTGGCCACCGCAGCCTTGACCTGCTGGACTCAGGCAATCCTTCTGCCTCAGCCTTCCAAGTAGCAGGAACTACAGGCCTGTGCTACCACGACCAGCTAATTTTTTTTTTTTTTTATTAATTATAGAGACTTAATTTCATCATGTTGCCCGGGCTGATCTTGAACCCATGAGCTCAGGCAGTCCTCTCACTTTGGCCTCCCAAAGTGCTGGGACTATAGGTTTGAAGTCACTGTGCCCAGCTGGCATTTCCTTTTCTTTTCTTTTTTTTTAATTTTTTAACTTTTTTTGAGTTGGAGTCTCGCTCTGTCGCCCAGACTGGAGTGCAGTGGCTGCTCCTGGCCACCGCAGCCTCGACCTACTGGGCTCCGGCGATCCTTCCGCCTCAGCCTTCCAAGTAGCTGGAATTACAGGCGCGCGCTACCACGCCTGGCTAATTTTTTATTTATTGTGGAGATGAGGTCTCGCCAAGTTGCCCAGCTGGGTCTCGAACCTGCAGGCTCAGGCAATCCAGTCACCTCAGCCTCCCAAAGGTGCGGGATTACAAGGCTGAACCACCGAGCCCAGCTAATTTCAATTTAACAGCAGTGGGTTCTGTTTAAACATTGGGTATAACTTTTCTTTTATGTTTATTTTGTTTTATTCTTTTTTTTTTTTTTGGGCCCAGAGTCTCACTCTGTCCAGGCCAGAGTGCAGTGACACGCTCATGGCCACCATAGCCTCGACCTGCTGGGCTCAGGTGATCCTTCCACCTCAGCCTTCCAAGTAGCTGGATCTACAGGAGTGTGCCACCATGTCTGGTTAATTTTTCTGGATTTATTGTGGAGGCGATAAATGTCTCTCCATGTTGCCCAGGCTGGTCTTGAACTCATGGTCTCAGGCATTCCTGTTACCTCCACCTCCGAAAGTGCTGCAGTTACAAGCGTGTGCCACCACGCCCACCCAGCTTTTATCCTTTACATTTAGAAATGTCTAGATATATTAATCACCTATTGTTGTTAAACAAATCACCCCAAATATAGCAGCTTTATTAAAACTGAATCTGGCTGGGTACAGTGGCTCGGCCTGTAATTCTGGCACTTTGGGAGGCGAGACGAGAGGATTGTTTGAGCCTGGGGGTTTGGACCAACCTGGGCAACTTGGTGAGACCTCATCTCTACAATAAATCACAAAAACTTGTTGGACCTGGTGGTGTGTGTCTGTAGTTCTAGCTACTTGGAAGGCTGAGGTGGAGGGATTGCCTGAGCCCAGTAGGTCTAGGCTGTGGTGACAAGAGTGAGAGTTCATTTCACCAAAAAACCCAGAAAACAAAAAACTATGAACCTTATTATCGCACCATTTCTGGGTTCTGTAGTCGGTGAGTGGCTTAAATGATGGTTCTAGGTCATACTGATAGGCAGTGGCCACAATTTCAGCAAGGGCAGCAGTCCTCTGAAAACAAGCTTTTAATGAGGCTCTGGGCATGAGACCTTAGTTTCTGGTCACTGATTCCTTTTGGAAAGCTGTGTTAGTGGCCTTACAACTTGGCAACTGGCGATCCCAGAGTAACTGATTCAGTCCTCCTGGGAGAAGCCACAGTACCTCTTATGACCTAGTCTCCGAAGTCACATGCAGCCACTTCTATGCATTCTGGACTAAACTACTAAGTCCAGCCTACATTTCAGGGGAGAGAAATTGGGCTCCACTTTTTGAGGAAGCCATGTCAAAGTTTTGGACATAAATTTAAGACCACTATTCTAGGTAAGACTTTTTGGTGGTGTCATAGCCAATTTTAGTGTTATTATCAGAAAAATGTATCAGCTGTCGGGCTCAAATGCTTAGATTTTAAAAGAACATGAAATTATTGATGGAAGGAATATTAATGTTCAGTCATTCCACATGTGTTCATTAGGAAATCTGGCAAGGATAGAGGAAAACAAGCCTGGGTGTTCAGACTGACCTGGGCAACTTGGTGAGACCTCATCTCTACAATAAATCACAAAAACTTGTTGGACCTGGTGGTGTGGTACCTTTTTCTTCTTCTTCTTTTTTTTTTTTGAGTCAGTCTTACTCTGCTGCCCAGGCTGGAGTGCAGTGGCACATTCACAGCCACCACAGTCTTCACCTCCTTAGTCTTCCAAGTAACTGGAGCTATAGGTGTTTGCTACCATGCCTGGCTAATTTTTTGATTTGTTGTAGAGGTGAGTTCTCACCAAGTTGCCCAGGCTGGTCTTGAACCTCTAGACTCAGGCAGTCTTCTTGCCTACACCTCCCAAAGTGCTGAAATTACAGGCGTGAGCCATCTTGCCTGACCAAGATACCTTTTTTTAAAACACTTATTTATTTATTTATTTATTTTTATTATGGAGTTGTGGGGTACAGTTAAGGGTTAGGTATAAAGGCTAAGCTATTTTTTTTCTTTTTTTGAGTTGGAGTCTCACTCTGTTGCCCAGACTGGAGTGCAGTGGCCACTCCTGGCCACCGCAGCCTTGACCTGCTGGGCTCCAGCGATCCTTCCGCCGCAGCCTTCCAAGTACCCGGAATTACAGGCATGCGCTACCATGCCCAGCTGATTTTTTTTGATTTATTGTAGAGATGAGGTCTCACCAAGTTGCCCAGGAGGGTCTCGAACCTGCGGGCTCAGGCAATCCACTCACCTCAGCCTCCCAAGGTGCAGGATTACAGGCTGAGCCACTGAGTCTGGCTCAAGATACCTTTTTTAATGTGACTTTAGGAGCTCGCTCAGAAGTTGATCCCCTGATATCTGAGTTCAGTCATCGGTCATTTTGCTCTCTAATTTTTTCATTACAGTATGGTTGGAAAGGGAAATAGATGACATAATAACATTTTCCAAAAAACACCTGCCAGATCTCTTGTGCAGTCATAATAAAAGTTGTCAGCACAACGGAGAGCAGTTTTTGTTGTAAGACAGGGGTTGTAGATATCTAATTGTGGGGAGAGGAATTGAATGGAGAGCCCAAATTGCCCAGCTAGGGGATGTGGAGAGTAAACTGAGCTAGAATGGAAAGGTGTGGTTAAGGGGGAGGCATGGCTAAGGGGAAGGCATGGTTAATAAGCAGATGGCCTTTGCTTTCAGAAGAGGTGCTGGTCTGATTGGACTGTGGGTGCAATGAATGGAGAAGTTGACAGTTAAATGAAAGAAATTTGTGATAAAGCCTAGGCTCTACATTTTTTTTTTTTTTTTTTTGAGTTGGAGTCTCACTCTGTCACCCAGACTGGAGTGCAGTGGCCACTCCCGGCCACCGCAGCCCTGACCTGCTGGGCTCTGGTGATCCTTCTGCCTCAGCCTTCCAAGTAGCTGGAATTACAAGCATGTGCTACCACGCCCGGCTGATTTTTTGATTTATTGTACAGATGAGGTCTCACTGCCTAGGCGGGTCTCGAACCCGCGGGCTCAAGCAATCCACTCACCTCAGCCTCCCAAAGGCGTGGGATTACAGGCTGAGCCACCGAGCCCGGCTGACTCTACATATTAACCAGCTTATTCTTCAGGTAATTTTGCCAGCCCCAAATGGTTTGAGACCAGTGAACAGGTAGGCTATTTTAGTGAGGCTCTGGTGTTGAGGCAGATGCTAATAGTCTAATGAAGGAAGCTTAGTTTCTTCCTTTCTTTTCTTTTTTCTTTTTTTTTTTTTGAGTCAGGCTGGGATATAGTCAGCATGATCATAGCTCACTGCAGCCTCAAATTCCCGGGCTCCAGCGATCCTACTGCTTTAGCCCTCTAAAACCCTGGAGATTACAAGCTCGTGCTACTATGTCCGGCTCTTAATTTTCCTTATATTATAGATGTAGCTCCCTTAATTGTAGACTAGCTAAAGAAGGACACTTATGGAGGGGCTTGCTCCAAGACTGCTTATTTTCTTGTGAAAATTTTGCCTAAGGACTTTTGTCTACTTCTCACTTTTACTATGTAGGGATCCTTATATACAACTTGCCACAGTGCCCGGCCAGTTAACTTTTTTTTTGTTTTACTTTTTAATTTTAAAGATGTGGGGTACAATTTAGGGTTAGGTATACAAATAAATGTTCATTATGCAGGTACCTTGTTGATGAGGGCCCCCCTTCCCCAGCAGAATCCTGCCCCCACTCCCAACTTCCCACTACTGAAAATCCTTTTCTTTTTGAGTTGGAGTCTCACTCTGTCACCCAGACTGGATTGCAGTGGCTGCTCCCAGTCACTGCAGCCTCGACCTGTTGGGCTCCAGCAATCCTTCCACCTCAGCCTTCTGAGTAGCTGGAACTACAGGTGCGTGCTACCACGCCCAACTGATTTTTGAT